CTTTCCCTTTTGTATTGGGACCTAGACCAATATGGCCTAATGAATCTCTACTCCACTCTTCAAATTTATAGTACATCTTGCCAATCCTACTTCATTGTCCCTATCACCTCCTGAGTTAGGGCACGGACAGACATCTATGACTCAGAGGCTACAACTATCACATGCTTTTTTGGCTGTAACTCATTATGATGCAGAGGGGAGGAAAAAAAAATAAAATAATAAAATGTCCTGTTCAGAAATAGCACCAATGATAAGACACAGAAGAAAGGTAAGGCTTCTGTCAGCTCCTTCCAGTATCCTCTATTAAGAAAAAAAAACACAACCCATATAGAATTTGTAGTTTCTATGAGCTCTATAGACTCATTCTAATTTTTCAGCTAATTGTTTTCCAATTCTAAAAGAAATAGATAGATGTTAAGCTACTGATATAAAACAGGAGGCCAGAGTCCTTCTACCCTGTATTTACATGGGAAAATCTGCTCTTTCATGAAAACCTCTGGGAAAAGCTTACAGTAGGTATGGTGGAGCAAGGTGCAGTTCTTTCCTTCTCTTCTCAGTAGGTGAGTTAGCTGAAATGCACACTTCAAGCGTGGTGTGAGAGAACACTCTGCTGACGGAGAAACCAAAGTTTGCATGGCATAAAAATGCAAGAGGGCTAATCTCTTGTGGCCACTGAAAATCTCACCATTTCAAAAAAAAAATAAAATACAGAAATCAATCTTATTTCCTTCCAGCTAACTACTTTCTGCCAGCCTAAATTCATGCCCCATTTTCATTTGGATATAGTACTTTCCACTGACAAAGCACAATTAACAGCATCTTGATTTCTGAATTTCAATTGTGACATGATTGCACCTAAACTAAATTCATTTGACACACATGAACTGTAAAGTAGAAAATAAATTTCTATCACACACATGCATGTATGGACACACTCCACTTTTTTTTTTTTTAATTTTTATTTACCTGTGAAGTATGAAGCTAGCCTCACTGTTTTTCTTTCTTATATTTTTCTGTTTCCCTTTTGACATCTGAAATATCAAAAAGGTTTTCACTTTGCTAGATGGCCACAACAGCGTGATAAGGCTGTAACCTGCTCTACAGCTCTTCATCTCTTCCTCTGTGGGAAGGGCACACTGATTTTTATAGCATAAAAAAAGAACTTGTCAAGGGCCTCCAGAACACAAAGAGAAAACAGAAGACTTGGTATTTCTAAGGCCAAGAATCAGCAGAAAAACACAGCTGACAGAATCCTCATAGGTATAAAGAAATAATAAAGTACAATGATTTTTTTCACGATGTTTTATAGTTCATCTATGATTTGTGAGCGTGAAAATGTTTGGGTCTGCCCTTTAGAGACTCCCCACAGGTCTTCAGAAAGACATTCACTGTGACCACATTTTCCAGTCTGCTCTGAATTTCAGATCCTTTCCAAATACCTTCACTGCTTACCTTCCCAAGTAAGACTGCCTTTCAAATTACAAAACCTTTTTTTCTGGCAGAAGCTATGGGTCCTTGGAGAATGACTGTGCTTGGCAGACAAACCACAGCATTGCCAGGAAAGACAGACGTTCTTCTAGCACAACATTGTCAAGTTAGTCTTCTCTCAAGAGAAATTTCCTCCAACAGCCTAATATTAAAGGACATCACTGTTATACCTGAAAGTTTTAACGTTTTCCAAAAGAGGAACAGTAGAACTAATCGTTACTGTTTGTGGGTTGTGCCTCATTAGGCAGCTTAGGGGTGTGATCTCTACACTTAACTAATAATGTTCTTATCCACAGATCCTCTGATTGATACCCACACACAGACATTTTTCTTTAAAGCAGCATTTAATGGTGTGTGCTATAGCAGGGTCATAGGCTATTTAAAGATAAGCTAGAATCAAGCTTTAAAAGACTTAGCTGATGAATAAGCAGATCTCCCACAGCGCAAGAACGATAAACTGTTACAAGCTTACAGGTCTAAAGTGCATCCTTTCTCCAGAAAACATAGCAGTTGTGATCAGTGCTCCCCTCTGCTGCTGCTGCTGCGTATTCCTGTCGCCTTGTTAGAACCACTGACTAAGGTCCTTTTGGATACCAGGGGACCTATCTTCAGAAGGCAGGGGAAAGCGTACAGGCACATTTTTATAAAAAATTTTTATAAAAACTGAGACTTCCCTCTAGAATTTATGCTTGCTCCTACACATGTTCCTTTTCCTCTTTCTCTACTGACTTGTATATTTTAACATAAAGGAAGACAGTTGTGGTGTATTATCTCTTCAAGATATATGTGGTAAGCAGTGTATACTAGGTGGATTTAGAGACAAACACAGGATCTAAAACCTGTCTTATTTTTGCTCCTTTAACTTCCAATAGTACTTAAACAAATACTTCCCACCTATCCTTTCTATTTTTTGTAGCAAGGACAATCATTGAAAATGAAGATGATTCCTAAGGCAGAACAATCACGAATGGCAGTTACCACAGTCGTTTTGGGACTTGATGCTTCCAGTATGAGTCCCACACCATCCTTTGCCCCACATACCAAATAAATCCCCTCTTCCTAGTGCTATAGCTGTGTCCAAACTACTCACTTTCCCCAATAGCTCCATCAATAGGCAGAAAAAGGCACCACAAGGAAATGTTGTTACCAGCACTTGCTTTCTTCCTCCTCTCTCTCTCTTTAAAATTTATTTTAAATCTTTTCCATGGGACTTCCTCCCTGGCAAAATATTAAAATACACTGAAATTTAAACATAATGCCATTGAGAAGTTTCAGACAGCCCCTAGGAAAAGAAGACAGGGCAGAACAGGAACAGATGGTATCGCCACGTAGATTTTGCAGAGGGGTCGTGGAGAGAAAAAGCAGTGCACCAGCCTAGGCTGTGGTACTGTACGAGTGTGTTTAAACAGATAAACATCAAAGGAACCCATCTGGCCTTGAAGTGGAATCTGTCACTTGAGATTGTTACTATTTAACAGAGACCTTGGGGTCTTGGCCATGTTTATTATACTCATGTAATCCCTCCCCAGTTACATTTTTTGTTCCCCATCCAGTGACTAAGAGCTGCTGGAGGCAAGAGCAGATAGAAGAGCTGAGAACTGCAGCTTCGGTCAATGGCAAGGGAATTAACTTCAGTCTGAACATCATCTTGCTGATTAACTGCCCTAGTAGGAAAATTAAAAAGGACTGTACTTACACTCGATATAATGCTGCCCTGTGATTTCTGGAGCCCTGCTCTTTCGCATTCCAATGGAAGAACAAGAGGTAACGTGTCCTCTCTGTGAAAAGTCTCTTTCTCATAAAAATGAAAAGGGAATAATCACATTCACAGGACTTTTGTTCTCCGATCTTTCTTCAACTTAAGTAGCAGCTCCTAACACCATGTGAGATATCCAAGGGCATTCAAAGGCAGAACCAGATACAGAATTGGACATCAATGCCAGGGGAGGGGTTGGGGATTTGCCAATTTCCAATTAATAATTTGCTGTGGGTAGGAATGAAGGAGAAAGACAATTGGGCACTGCCATAAGAAGAACCATTATGCCCACGTGGAGGCAGAGGTCTGGGGACTAAGAATAAGTTCCAGCTTGTCCTCCCTCCCCCTTACTGGGAATTCTCCTTCCACCCACTTTTCCCCATGATGATGGAAAGTGGGAGGGATTGGGTAGCACACAGCAGTATGCTGACATAATTTTTTGGGACCACCACAAAAATGGTTAAGAAGCTAGATGGACTTTGTTTGGGGGCAGAAATTATGATGGGGTTGATGACTGAAAGTGTCCTTTTTGATGTTTTCCCTAGGAGCTGACGTAGGGTTTCCTTGGTAAAGAGGTGAAAAGACTGCAAGTTTTTGTGGGCGATGAAACTCTTTAACAATGGAGTGGTGGGAGGATGGGACAAATTACTCAGGTGAAGAAACACTTGTTCTCTTTGTCTTCAGGGGCAGTTTATCCTTAACCTCTTCCCTTCAACAACCACAATTCAAACCCTTTGCTTATCTCTTACCCTCAGGTAGAAAAAGCAGAAGGTGTTTTATTTTGCTTTTATTTGAATAAATTAAATACCAAGCTTGAAAAATACAGAGAAGAGTAACAAGATTAGAAAGGTTGCAGCTCAAAGTGGCAATTTGATGTACAATATTAAAATTAGTCTTTACAAAGGTTAAAACATTAAAAGGGTCATCATCAAAAGCGTTGAAATCACCAGCAGAAGAGTGCAATTGAACTGAAGAACTTATTTTGGTTTGTAAGTATGAAAACCTGGGATTTAAATTTTTCATCCATCTTTAAGAATACGAAAAATCAGTAAAAGTTCACAAGATGGCAGAATTTATTTGTCATCCAACTTTAATCTTAATTAAAGGATCCCACCTAGATGTTCTTTTTTAATATTCATACAGATTTACAAACAAAGGGATTTTCTTCCAGTTAAGCGTATTCAGGCATTTGACTTTGTCCAATAGCTTTGCACTACTTCCTCTTTTTATCTCTGTTCCCAAAGAACAGTTTAGTTTCCATGTCTTGCAAACCACTAAGAGCCTTGGAAAAAGCTAAGTAACAAGGGATACCAGACAGAAAACATGCATCAACTGATTGTCAATCCTTAATATTGACCTCAAGGTAAATCGCTGCTACACACCTGAATGAATCAAGCATGAATCAAGTTATACCTGCAGAAGACCAGTGAGTTAACTGTATTTTCAGACTACACAGTAATACTTGGTAAAACACATGGAGTCTGTAGGGGTCTAACACAGGAGGGACAAACGGTGGGGTGGTGGCAGGAGAAACACGATGGACAGCAACCTCTAACATCACCCATAAGTAATGTACCAAGCATTCACCCACCCTCGTGCTCCCAAAGTTTCCCAGTGTCCCCACGTGTGCAGTGTCCTCAAAGACAAAGTGTTGGTACTTACCCTACTACCACAATTATAAAATCTAGTAAATTCCAGCCATTGCGGAGGTAAGCGTTGGGGTGAAAGAGAAGTCCATATGCTATTACTTTTAAAAATGCTTCCACTGTAAAAATTATGAGAAAGAGATATTCCACTCGTTCCTGTGGAAGATAAGAGAACAAGAGAAACAATGGTTAGCATAAGTGACAAACCATGGATAAGGACGTTTTCTTCTGTCACAGTCCACCCATGCATCCTCCAACTCACTGACTCACCACTTGGGTACGTCTAACATGCAAGGCTTGCCAGAGGGCTTTTCTCCTCATGCTTGCATCGTCTGCAGCCAGTCTGACAGGACAGTGGCAGTAACTTTTGATTAGGCTCTGAAATTTGCTGCCCTTGCCTTAGTAGGGACTGACCACTGCACAGGCCTGTGCAAAGGAGAGGGTCAACAGGCACGTTCTAGCACTCAGCTCTCTACAAAGTACATTGCCAAGTATTGTCAGACATGAGAATGAACTGCATCCAGTCCTTTTCTACCTCTGGAGAAGAAACGTTGCTGGATGCAATGCTGTGGAGAGAAACAGGGAGAAATAAAGGGAGCGGCCCACCCGAAACTGATGCATGTGTCAAACTGTTCCTTCTTTGGGATTCCCTTTTCTGTTGCTGGAGAAAATGTAGGCTGAATATTGGTGAAAAATGATTTACAAATCAGGCCGAGTAATGCTAGAATCTTTTAGTCATTCCATCAGAAATGTACATGTCCCTGTGAAATGCAGGCTGCAACTAAGCATATCCAAACAAAGTCACTTCCAGTGACAGTACAGTCTGATTCAGGACAAGCAAGAATGCTTTTGGAGTCAGCACACAGGCTCACTGTCTCTCATCTCTGAGTTTTTAGCCCCAGTGTGGAAGAATAGTAGTGTTGCAGAAATGGTAGGGACCTCCACTTAAGTAGGAGGGAAACTGCAGCATTAGGTAATCACTACAAAAGTGCTGCGTGGCAAGCTGAGTGGGAAATAAGTACGTGACAACTAGATGACAGCAGAGGGAGACTAGGTCCCTACAAGGTTAAACTACTAAGTTATTAAAAGTTCACACTGAAGAAATAAAAATATGAGATAAATACAAATTAAAACATCCTAGGCATTCCTAGTCATATCTTATAGGGTACCCTGCAAGACAATCAAGCAGGTCACAATTTTTTTTTTCTTTTCAGCTCCAAACTGCAATTGCCCTGGTTCCTCTGTCCAGCTCAATGCACGTATGACTCTTTCATATGATACAAAGTGTGCAGGATTACAAAAAATCATTCCATCATTTAACTCAGCTGCCCATTTGAACCTCTTCCATTCAGCTTCAGGTAATTAACAACTCACAAGCAACCCATTGATCAAAAAAGGCAATTTCCAGTTCGTCTGCATGTTTACATTAACATGTTATTTTACACAACTGAGAAATTCCATCTGACAGTAGCAGGCACATGTTTGTGCTTTAAAATATTGCGGTTTTCACTCAGACAATGCTTTCACAACACCTGCAGTATTATTCCCCAGTGCTTGGTATGGGGAATACCTAAAAAAGAAGTGTCATTCTATAGTTATCTGATCCAGTCGTAAAGCTTTTGAATGTGCCCACAGCACAGAATTTACCCATTGTTGTCCCAGGTGGAAACGGGTCAGCACACTAAGGACTTCCCTCCCTTTGAACTCAGAGAAGGAAACATCAGTATACAATATTAGTGACTACTATGTCCCCAGCTCTACAAATAGTAAGTGAATTATTTTATTTAGCACAGGAATTAGCACATAAGAGCTAACAACCAGGAGTCCAGCCATGGGCTTGGCCGCAGAAAAGAGCTCCATAATGGCTTGCGCACTCCTAGAAGGGACTAACCTGGCAGCCTTTCTCTCTCCACTGCCACTGACAACTGAATGGGTACTAACTGATGTACAAATCATACTAAAACAGACCCAAATGATCAAGCTGTATGCACACACCTGTAAAGTAAGACAAGCTGTCACAAAACTTCTTAAAAAACCAACAACAAAATCATTGTGATAGAAAATCTTTACACAGTGTCTTTCTGATTGCCTTGCACCTTTGTGCTGCCCCATGCTTCTGTCAGCATGGCACAAGCTCAGGTGCCAACCCGCGCGGCAGGCAGATAGCCTGTGGTAGCTCTGCCTGGGAGGCAATGCCCTGCCTCTGAAAGGACAAGGTAAAGACCGTATGGAGGCTGGAGGAAGATGGAAATGGGCTCTGTGGGGGAAGAACATGCCCTGAACTGAGGATGGGAGCAGGCAGCATTGCATGTGGAATGGACGTGGCCTCGCTAGGGATGGATGAACACCTTTTAGGATGGAAACAAAGATTTCTCTAGCTGCAACCCAGTCCACTAATGGGTCTCGCTCCCTGTTTCAGCCAAGGGCTTTCCACAGTTGCGGGCAAGCTCTCTTTC